CCAAGACCTGCCCCAGGAATTCAGCACACCAGAACCTCTCCGTTCGAAGATACGGAAATTGATTTCACAGAAGTAAAACCATGTCGGGGCTATAAATACCTGCTAGTAATAATATGCACCTTCTCAGGCTGGGTCGAGGCAGTCCCTACTGGACCGAATAGGCTAGGGAAGTGGTGTAGTATTTATTGAGAGAAATCATCCCCAGGTACAGTCTACCACTCTCTTTTGGCAGTGACAATGGACTAAGCTTAACTGCGGAAGTCACACAAACCCTCATCAAGGCACTAGGAATCAAATGTAAACTACATACAACCTACAGGCCACAGAGCTCAGGGAAAGTAAAGCGTATGAACCAGACCCTCAAGACAACTCTAGCAAAGCTATGTCAGGAAATACAATTACCCTGGGTAGACATGCTAAGCCTATCCCTATTCAGGGTCAGGTGCACACCAGGGCCCACAGGACATTCACCCTTTGAAATCCTGTTCAGTAGACCTCCCCCACTCATCAAACAATTAAGGGGAGAAATTAGACAACTAGGAGAATTGAATATAAACACACACCTCCAAGCCTTAGCCAAAACTATGTGCCATATCCACCACACCGTCCTAGAAAAAAACCTCTATCACCCTGGGTCTCTGTGTCCACCCCCACCAACCTGGGGATCTAGTCTGTGTAAAAGACTGGAAAAGAACACCCCTAGAGCCCACCTGGAAGGGTCCCCAAACTGTGATACTAGTTACTCCCACTGTTATTAAAGTTGCAAGTATCACTCCATGGATCCATCACTCCTGGGTGAAAAAGGCTGAACCAGACAACAAAACTGATCTCTGGACTGCACATCAGGACCAACAGAACCCACTAAAGATCTAACTTAACCATCTCCCAAGAAGGACAGCCACACCCAGGACTGAAATGCAGTAAATGGGTCCACTGGCCCTGGCACTCATTAGGATTATAATGACTTTACTGAAAATTAGACTCTTCTCAATAGCTCCAGGAGATTAAACTAGACTACAAAGGATATCTCTAACTGTAATATTTTAACTCATTATAAGAAGTCTACTCCTGCCTCAGTCCCTACCCTCTTCCTGGTTAGGGCACTCATCCTAACAGCTATGGCAGAGAAACCCTGCCCTGAGGCTTGTTATGGTAGGACTTAGATTCCCTCCACTAACAGGATTACTTGAGGCTTCTGGAACACATGGGAGGTTTCACAGTCCACACTTACATGCCAAAGACATATTATAGTCAGGCCCAGGTGTGCCACAGCCAGGGAAAGAAATACTGGACTGGCACCATTACAGGTCCCTGCATACTGAGCGCGATTATAAAATTCGTAGAGACAACTGTAACCCGGAGAACAGCAGCTCACATAATGGCTATCATCCACTGGGAAACGATGCCCTATTACAGACATACAAGGGCATCAAAGGGGGAATGATAAGGAAACCCTATCTATTACTTGGGGTTTCAACCACCTGAGACACCTCCCCTCAAGGATGACCACCATCAGCATAATATTAACCTATTACCTGGCCCATCAACTAATCTATTACCTGGTGCATCAGCATAACACTAAACCTATTACCTGGCCCATCAACATAATACTAACCTATTACACCTAGCTCAGCCTCAACCAGCAGAGATCCCACCCCTCGGATCAACCCAATTTAATAAAAGTGGGGAAAATCAGGTAGAGAGGGCTCAGAATTTGGTGGTGGCACCCCTCTAAGCTCGCCAGCCAGCGAATAAACTTTGATTCTCTCCGTGTGCCACTCAGTTTATCCTCAGGACCACCCACTGTAACACTTGCAGTAACAACAGAACATTCCTCTGTACTCCTCCTTGACTCTGCATATGATGTAAACCTAACCAGGGTATTCCCCAACAAATTCTCAATACAAACTGACCTACAGTATCACTTTATCCAGGAACTCATCCTTATACTTAAGCTGACTCAGATACTTACTCTAAATGCTCGAATTTCTGACCTAAATCTCTTCCATATCAGTCATGCTTATTTATAAGTCTTCTCCTTAGACTATTAACAATCTCCAGAAAAAGAACTTCCTATTTCCTGTACTGAGCAAACAGAAAGCATTCAACAATTGCTGTTTAAAAGAATGAATGGGGATTAAATGGGAATTTATAGTTTGGTAAAGTTTTTATTTTTTTGAGACAGAGTCTCACTTTGTTGCCCAGGCTAGAGTGAGTGCCCTGGCATCAGTCTAGCTCACAGCAACCTCAAACTCCTGGGCTCAAGCAATCCTACTGCCTCAGCCTCCCGAGAAGCTGGGACTACAGGCATGCACCACCACGCCCGGCTAATTTTTTCTATATTTATCAGTTGGCTAATTAATTTCTATTTATGGTAGAGACGGGGTCTCTCTCTTGATCAGGCTGGTTTCAAACTCCTGACCTCGAACAATCCACCCGCCTCGGCCTCCCAGAGTGCTAGGATTACAGGCGTGAGCCTGGCCTTACAGTTTGGTAAAGTTATTCTAAGGATAATGAACTTGTTCCTTTGACTAGGATACTCAGTGGGCAAATCGTTTCTTATAACTGAAATGACAATGAAACCCTGTTTTTATTTTTTTTTCACTTTTTTTATGACATTGTGTAGTCATGCCCTTGTTTTTATTTCCTAACAGACCCACAGTGACCCCAAATCCCTTATCACCCCAACTCTCTATATCCATGAATCAAAAAATTGATTTTGTAGCTAAAAAGGCATAGGTCTATCCTTTGTGGAAAAGGTAAGGCAAATGACATAGATAACCATATTACTTAAAAAACAATTCTCTCCTTTTTCCCAACAAACTCCTTCCAGCCAATCAAGACCCTGTTCTGCCATTATCACCCCTTCCAAATAAAACTTTTTCTCTCTCTGCCTATTCTTTCATTGTTCAGCCAGAACCGTCTAAGCACAATGAGCTTATTAAAGAAAGGTCCTGAATTAAAAAGCAATCATCTCCACTCTTTTCCACACCCTTGAAGTCAAGTCAAATTACAGTCCTTGATTTAAAATGTCCTACAAGTAGGTGGACGAGAGCAACATACATGAAATTTTGAGAGGAGCTAAAAATTTCATGAGTTTTATAAGGTTAATGAACAAAAAGGTGACTGAAATGATCCTGTCCAAAAATGACCAACTACTATGTATATACAGTTAACAGATACTATAACTTCCTCTCATCTTACCCTCCTGCCCTCCCTTCTTTCCACCCACTGCCAACACAGCACTTCAATTTTTTTTAATATAGGAAAATCATCAAGTCATGATAATGATAGATTAAAGGCAAAAAAGCATATATTGTCCTCTAAACATCTCAAAGTATTTTTCTGACAATCTGCATTTGCTGCACTAAATAATAAAAGGAATTTCAGATTGTCATTCATCTCCCTTAAAGAGCAAAAACATAACTGGGAAAATTTCTATCATGAAAAGCCAACAACACTCTTGGCTCAGGGAACTAGCACAGAATAGGACGAAAGTAGACAGCGCACTTAAGACTGAGGAACAGAACAACAGTGAGTTCTCAAGAAAACAACTGTAGTAATAACATTTGTGATTAAGAACCCAAAATCCAATCCATCCTTTACAAAATTATAGAGCCCCACATCAAAAAAAAAAAAAAAAGGGCGTGGTCAATTCTTTTCAGGTGTTTGCAAGCACACAGAACTTTAAAGCCTGGGTGTATTTTAAAATTAAGATTTCCAGGCCCCACCTGCTCGAAATTCTTTTGTAAATTTGGAATGGAGCTTGGGAATTGGTGTGTTTACTTAAAACCTTAGGTCATCAGCAAGTTTTGTCACAAGTTCTATACACCTTTTAGCTCACAGCAACCTCAAACTCCTGGGGCTCATGCAATCCTTCTGCCTGAGCCTCCCGTTTAGCTGGGACTACAGGCATGTGCCACCATGCTAATTTTTTTTCTACGTATTTTTAGTTGGCCAATTAATTTCTTTCTATTTTTAGTAGAGACAGGGTCTCGCTTTTGCTCAGGCTGGTCTCGAACTCCTGACCTCGAGCAATCCTCCCGCCTCGGCCTCCCAGAGTGCTAGAATTACACAGGCGCGAGCCACCGCGCCCGGCCTCTATACACCTTTTCAAGAAGAGCTCTTTCCAAACCCTACTGACACCTTAGCAGTCTATAAAATTATCAAAGTTCCTACAAATAAGCCAAACCAAACGCATCATGCTATTATTTCACCTATTCCCTTTGTGTTCTCCCTCATCCCTAAAATTAGTATCTCATTTTCAGTCCATCCCTCACAGACAGCAAGTAGTATTCGTTTATCTCCACCCCTAGTAACCGAGTGATGGGCAGAAGGGTAAAACAAAGGGAAACTATCACTTCAATACCCGGAAATCCTGTCAGTTCTAACACAGGAGAGAAAACTCATTCTAGACCATTCTATCAGATACTGGATTTTAAACAAAACACTCTGAAGGGTGGTCTACGGTGCTAGAAGGCAGATCAGATTAGACTAAGAGCTCTCGGAGGGAAAGGGATGGACAGCGGTTCTGAAAGAAGAAACTTCGAAGCAGGGCAGGTCACGGAGTGAGGCGAGCGGGCTGGTGCCGGCACCTCCGGCGGCGTTTGACACTCGACACCCCAGCCTCACTCGGGTTGCTAGGAAACAAAAAGGCTCCACGTTCCCTGCAATTCCTCCCGGGCCTGGCGGAGAAGAGAGGGGCCTCCGGGGGCTGAAGACGCCACAGGGACCGGCCCGGCCACTGCCCCGGGGGGCGCGAAAACGAGGGAACCCGGCAGACCCGGGGCTCGGGCTGAGGGGCCCGGCGCGCGCACCCGGCCCCGAGGCAAGGGAGGAAGGCGGCCGGGGGCTCTGACGGGCCGGGAACGGGACCTCCGGGGCGAGCGGCGCTCGGGCAGGCCGCGGCGGACTCAGCTCGCGTCAGGCCGCAGCCGGGGGCAGCATGCGGGGCCTAAACGACCACCCGGCGCCGCGCGGGGGAGGGGGCGTCCACTCACACGTGCTGACAGGCCGCGGTCCGCACCGGTGTCTTGAGCACCTCCTGACAGACGGGGCAGTAGAAATCATCTTCGGTGTAGGACGTGGCCGCCGAGAGTTCCTCGGCCATGGCGGGGGACGGGGGAACAAGGTGATGGCGGCGGCAGCGGCCGAGGTGACGGTGGCGGCCCGGGTCCCGACTCCCTGCGCGAACCCGGAGGGGGAGGGGAATCGCGTCAGGAAGCGGCTCGTGCCACGAAGGGGGCGGGGCTCCCGGAGGGGCGTGGCCGAACGCCGAGCTGCGACTGCCGCACGCGCCGGGCGAAGGGCCGGCCCTCCGGCTGCCCCGCCCGCAGGGGCAGGACCGGACGGCGGCGATTGGCGGGAGGTCGCAGTCTCCAGGCCAGGCCAGGCACACGCCCCTTTCGCCGGCAATGGCACCTCCACCCCGCCCCCAGGTCCCAGCCTCTCCCGTAGAGCTCCTCGGCTAGGCCGTGGCTTCACCCCAAGCCCCGCTTTCCTCCCCTTTTCTGCTCCTTCTCACCCGCAGCCCGACCTCCCGACCCCAGCCCGCGTAGGCGGCTCCCTTCCCGCCGCTCCTCCCGTTCCTCCCGCCCCGCTTCCCAGCGGCTCAGCTCCTCCAGTCGTCCGCTGGCGTAGACCCTCACTTGGAAGGCCGGGAGCGGCGTTCTGGATGGGGCTGCTTCTCCGTCGCGTGCTGGGAGAGAGATGGCCCTGCGCCGTCCCCGAGTTTCTTGTCCCGGCGCTGCTGCCTTCTCAGCCGAGGCCCGGGGGGAAACAGAGGGCGGGGTGCGCAGTGCTCATCGGCCCGGAGCGGGGCCAGACCCGAGGCTCATGGTGCACCAGGATCCCACCGCCCCTGCCAGCAGCTCCCCCGTGGCATTGCGCTGCCTGCAGCCTGCCCGGCTGGTCACCGACCAACAGAGAGCCCCGGGAGGGGCGGAGGAGTGGGGAGAGGCGGGGGGCGGGGTGGGGAGCGCGGCCTCCATAGCAACGGGCACGTGGCGCCTCCGCAGGTTGTGACATAAACAGCTGGGTGCCCACATTAACACCTGTTCCTCCCGGCCTGCCTCCCTATAGCAGGCACCCCACATCACACCACTCCTACCAAATATAGTGGGGCTTTCAGGATTTTTTATCCTCAAGATCCCTAATGTTAACGATTTAAAAGGTCTTCATTATTGTTACTGAAAGCTCAACACTTGTCCTCAGGCCGCATCAGAAGAATGAGGACAAGTGGTTTGAGAAAAAAAGTTTATTGGCGGCAAATGAGGAGGATGAAGACTCCTGTCTGAAATGCCATTGTCCTAATAATCAGAAATACAGAGCTTTTAAAGGGAGGCCACTCAGCTTCTCACCACCTGAGCTCTGTCTGCACCGCCACCCCAGGTCACTGTGCTCCCAAGTCCATGAATAAATTGTCTTTCATGAAACCGTTCCCTGGTGCCAAAAAGTTGGGGAACCACTGATTTAAGGGACTAGTTAATTCAATTCTGCCATTTGTTGTCTATGTTGACCTTTGTATTATATGAGGTGTTATGTCTTTGCTACACTATTAGATATCTATGAGAATGAGAGATCAAAAAAAAATGTATTTGCCAAAGTATTAAATTTTGCATTAACAGTGAATATAATGAGGATAAGAAATGGAATGGTTCGAAATATATGGATTTAACACAGAAAACCTTACAGAGAAAATGGGTCTCAACATGCATGCATCTTAAAACAATGATTCCTGGAATAATAGTTATTTGTCCAACGATTAGCTTTTTCCCTCTACCCAACTATATTTTCTGTTTTGTTCCTTTTCCTCCTTAGCAGCAAGAACAGTAGAAGCAGGGCAGGGAAGGTAATATTAGCTTCAGATTTCCTGGGAGGAGGAAGAGCACATGACAGAAGTGGAAACTTAGCTGTAGTCCAGGTGCTTTTCAGATTCATTTATAAAATAGTTCTTTGATTCCAAATTTCACTTTCCTGATAATATATGTCCACTGATATTTCATTCATTCTAACCACTTCAGGAAGTAAAGTGTATTTTCTTTTTTTTTTTTTTTTTTGGTGATAATGAACTTATTTATTGAGCTGAGGTTTTAAAAAGGAGAAAAATCTTCATACTTTTCATTAGAATGGGGCAGATTACCCTTATATAGAGAATAACAACAATTTAAAAAACAGAATAAAGGCAAAGACAAAGAAAATTGAACTTTTTTAAAATAAAAACACAAAAACCCTACATACTAAAATTATACACATCAAGTATTGGTCCAATCTTATATCAATCTATTTACAATTAAACAGCACCATGGATTTCCCACCTAGGTTAGTTGAACATGCACAAAATTGTTATTCAAAGTATATGTTCCTTTAAAATAAAATAAACTCTTAAGAGAGCTCAAATCCTCAACAAACAAGACCTTTTATCAATCATAGATATTGATGACATAACCAATTTTTCTTAAGAAAAACAATAGTGTTTCCCTTTATTTATTCATTGAGAATCCCTAACCATAACATTAATTCTGTGACCTCAATTTTATTTGATTCATTCTTTCTATGTAACAGCAGCTTTACTCATGCTTAATCTAAACATGTTTGTATTACTCCCTCAAATATTCTAAGAAGTCATCTGAGGCTGGGTGCTGTGGCTTATGCTTGTAATCCCAGCACTTTGGGAGGCTGAGGCAGGAGGATCACTGGAGCCCAGGAATTTGAGGTTGCAGTGAGCTGTGATGATGCCACTGCACTCTAGCCTGAGCAACAGAACAAGACTTTGTCTCAAAGAACAAAAAAGGTCACTTGGTGTATACATAAGCATATAGTTGGCAACATGTAGAAAATCCATAAAAAAATTTCGTATAAGGAAAAAATAGTTACCCTTGGAAAGTTAAGCTTAAATAAATTATAATTACCAAATGACACAATCTTCTGCCTTAGCATCATTTTATGTGAAAAACTACTTGATAACTTTATGAGAATGTCAAAGATTTACTCAAAATTCATTAATTCATTCAGCTGTGTAAATAAAATGTCCTCAGCCTCTGGACAGTAGGGAGAAAAACCCTGTTAGACCATTTTGATAACTTACATAATTTAAACAGTTCTTTTAAATTAAGGTTAAAAAACTCAGTCCCACTCAGCCTGTTTCCATCAGAATGGCAATTGGGAGGGTAGAAGGGAAGATGAAATATAGCTGACATAAACTTGAGGCACTATTGGGGAATTTGCGTCCTGAAATCCAAGAGTACTTGGATTCTTGCTTGGATTTTTCCTCAGCAAGGCTAATTTTGGCTGCTCCTTGAAATATGATGAGTCTTGGGTGTTCTGTAGATGGAACCTGCTAGTAAAGGCTGCTCTGACCAGTTTCAGCTGGGACAATGCCCTGTGGTATAGTTGATTCAACCTCACCAACACTGTAAACCCTCCCAATCTCTGCCACAATCATCTTCCGGTCCCTTGACCCTCAACATGGCAGGCTTTTTAGCAGACCCTCTGGCTTTCAACTCAGTCACATCCCTGTGTTCCCCCCTCAACCACTCTTGGAGGGAGACTTGTTCCGCCTAAATATTCTATGTCACTAAATTCATGTGAAGTGCTGACCCCTAGGTTGGTTCTGAACAGCCTATAAGGTCATGTGCTTCCAGCTCTCCTGCCCTCAGCACGCCCTTGAACCTAAAACACCTTTCCCCTCTGGAATGAAGCTCCTACTCTCTCTTTCACAACTTCTTGGCCTGGAAGGAATGAGATTTTTCTCTTGCTGCAGTAACTGCTTGCTCATTGGGCACTCCCATATGCAAAACTATTCAGTCAAGTCCACTAGATCAAGTAATTGATATGCTAAAGAGGGAGATAAAAGAATGTAGAAAATTAATTTATTGACAAAGCCGGGCTTTGAGTAGCACTAAAAAGCCTCAAAAACCTATTTTGCTGGGAAGTGAACTAGGAAGTTGGAGGATGGAATGGCCCAGAGGATGTTTTACTCTCTACCCTTTGGTACCTTTTTAAATTGGTACCATGTGCAGTATTGAATTCAGCTGGTTTGTACCAGTACAGCTCTACTAGTCCTTCAGCCTTGTCCATTCTGATTAGTTGTCTCTCCTGAATAATCAGTGCTTATCTGGGTCCAGTTGTTAAATATTTTCAATATTATTCCTGACTCTGCATCAATAAGCAGTAAAAACTTATAGTTTTGTTGTTTAAGCATGTTTTGGAAATGTTCTCTTTTTTAAAAATGGGCAATATTCTTTATATTCCTGTTGAATTCATTCTAATTTCTTCTTTTCTCCACCTCAACCCAACATACAGGAAAATGGATGCCTCCGGCTGAGTAAGAGGGAATTCAAGTGAATAGGAAAGTGAAAGAGAAACTATAACAGACACCATCTTCCTATCAACACCCATTCATAAGCCCCACTCCCAATCCCCACTTTAACAAATCATTATTATTGTTCAGGTATCTTCTTTCTTTTTCCCAGCCATATGCCATATGTTTCAGGAGGCAACATTCATTTCCAGCTCAAGAGTGCTAAATAGGGCCAGGCCACGCCAGTAATCCTCATGCTCTGGGAGGCTGAGGCAGGAGGCTGGCTTGAGGTCAGGAGTTTGAAACCAGCCTGAGCAAGAGCGAGACCCCGTCTCTACTAAACATAGAAAAAAATCATCTGGGCTTGGTGGCATATGCCTGGCATCCCAGCTACTCAGGAGGCTGAGGCAGGAGGATTGCTTCAGCCCAAAAGTTTGAGGTTGCTGTGAGTGAGGCTGATGCCAGGGCACTCTAGCACGGGTGACAGACCAAGACTCTGACTCAAAAAGAAAAAAAAAGAGTGCTAAATAGCCCAGGGCAGTAGCTCATACCCATAATGCCAGCATTCTGGGAAGCTGAGGCTGGAGGATTGCTTGAGCTGGGGAATTTGAGACCAGCCTGACCAAGATTGAGATCTCTACTAAAAATACAAAAATTAGCCGAGTATCATAGCACGCCTGTAGTCCCAGCAACTCGGGAGGCTGAGGCAGGAGGATCACTTGAGCCCAGGAGTCTGAGGTTGCAGAGAACTACAATGACACCACTGCACTATACCCTGGGCAACAAAGCAAGACTCTGTCAAAAAAAAAAAAAAAAATGTTAAATAAAATTTGGAGGGGGCCATTGATTTGGACTGAACTCCTGAACTAGACCCAATAGACCAAACCAAAATGAAGTTACACTGAAGTTCCATGTCACCAAGCCCAAACTAAATTTTTTATCTGATCTTGTGAGAAATCTGAAGATTGAGAGATAATAGCCAACCCCCCAAACAAGCCAGTTTTAGCTGGCATGATAAGGGAAAGTAACTTTGAAACAGCCAATCCACTTTTTGTTTTCCCTTTCTGCTTTCCTCAGCCCTTTTCTATCTATAAATCCAAACTCCTTTGCTCAGCTCATCAGAACACACATGCCATTATATAGAAAGGGGTGTTGCCAGATTTTAGAATCTCAAATAAAAGCCAATTAAGATCTTTAAATTTGTTGTAATTTTGTCTTTTATAAAGAGCAAAAACCATGATTAACAAGAGCCAATCTGAATGGGCCCTTTCCACTTGCCAGTGGTTTAGGCATGAGCACGTGACTAATTATGACCAAGGGGATGTGAGGAGAATTATTCTAAGGAGCTTTAGCAAGTGCTTTTTACTTTGCTAATCAAAAAACACAAACAGGCCGGGCGTGGTGGCTCACGCCTGTAATCCTAGCTCTCTGGGAGGCCGAGGCGGGCGGATTGCTCGAGGTCAGGAGTTCGAAACCAGCCTGAACAAGAGCGAGACCTCGTCTCTACTATAAAAATAGAAAGAAATTAATTGGCCAACTAATATATATATATATATATATATATACATATATATATATATATATAAAAATTAGCTGGGCATGGTGGCGCATGCCTGTAGTCCCAGCTACTCGGGAGGCTGAGGCAGGAGGATTGCTTGAGCCAGGAG